CTTCTATATTGTCAGGAGCCATATAAGCTACTTAGGAGCTGAACATAAGCTGACCTCCTCACAGTTTGAATTCACCATTGAGATTAGCATCATATATCAGACAGATTTCACAAGTAAAGAATTTTGTGATCAGTAGTACAAAGCATCAGTTGGGGTTATGCATGTATTCATATTTATGTGCCTGCAAAGAACACAGCTGAATCTATACACTTCTGAGGAAGAATAACATTATGTTTATCATGCAAATTGTGAGTTTTTCTAAAAAAGTATATCATGACTGCATTTGGTGGCCTTGGAAGTGAGGCATGTATACATATTGATAAAGAGTTTACAAATCACAATTTGCCACACTTGCAAATATTAATTGAGCACAAGTAGCATAATATTGACTCCACAGGATTCAATATGTAGTGTTTCAAAGCTTTCCAGATCTTCCATTCTCTTTTTGGAATTGTCTGTATTTTCTTATCAGCTGCCAGGCAGCATGCAGGGAAGAGAAGCCATCCCTGCTTCCTTTTTAATACATCTCCAGTAAATCAAAGTGCAGCTGATAAGTCTAATTTTGGGTCTTCTTTCAAGCATAGATAGCTTGTTGGAAGGTGGTTCCTAGAAGAACACAGCAGTCTGAACAACTATAACAGGCATTTCAGCAATCATATTAATTTTTAGCTGAGAAAATGGCTGTGGAAATGATACAAGTCCCACAGGCTTCACATTTTCAGTGAAGAATTTATAGGAGCTAGTTTGGTATGAATAGAAAGCTTTTTATTAACTTGCAGCATTTTACTATGGCAGAAAAGTAGTAACTGCTTAAGATTCCTTCCCCGCCAAATTAGAATAGAATAGAATAGAATAGAATAGAATAGAATAGAATAGAATAGAATAGAATAGAATAGAATAGAGTTCTTTATTGGCCAAGTGTGATTGGACACACAAGGAATTTGTCTTTGGTGCATAAGCTCTCAGTGTACATAAAAAGACAAGATACATTCATCAAGAATCATAAGGTATAATACTTAGTGATAGTCATAGGGTACAATAAGCAATCAAATCATACTAAGAAACAATCAATATAAATCGTAAGGATACAAGCAACAAAGTTACAATCATGCAGTCATAAGTGGGAGGAGATGGGTGATGGGAATGATGAGAAGACTAATAGTAATAGTAATGCAGCCTAATGTGAATAGTTTGACAGTGTTGAGGGAATTATTTGTTTAGCAGAGTAATGGCATTCGGGAAAAAACTGTTCTGTGTCTAGTTGTCTTTGTGTGTAGTGCTCTATAGCGTCATTTTGAGGGTAGGATGCGAGGAGTCTAAATATTTTCACATCCCTCTTTTTGACTCATGCAGCATACAGGTCCTCAATGGAAGATAGGTTGGTAATAATTGTTTTTTCTGCAGTTCTAATTATCTTCTGAAGTCTGTGTCTGTCTTGTTGGGTTGCAGAACCAAACCAGACAGTTATAGAGGTGCAGATGACAGACTCAATAATTCCTCTGTAGAACTGTATCAGCAGCTCCTTGGGCAGTTTGAGCTTCTTGAGCTGGTACAGAAAGAACATTCTTTGTTGTGCTTTTTTTTAATGATGTTTTTGATGTTAGGTGTCCATCTTAGGTCTTGAGATATGATAGAACTTAGAAATTTGAAGGTCTACTGTTTATACTGTGTTGTCTAGTATTGTAAGAGGTGGTAGTATGGGAGGGTTTCTCCTAAAGTCTACCACCATTTCTACAGTTTTGAGTGTGTTCAGTTCCAGATTGTTCCGGTCACAGCACAAGGCTAGTTCTTCAACCTCCCGTTTGTATGCGAATTCATTGTTGTCTCGAATTTTACCAATCAATGTTGTATCATCTGCAAACTTCAGTAGTTTAACAGATGGATCGTTTTGTCATTGGTATAGATAGAGAAGTATATGCCCTTCCTGTATGTATTAAATGGAAGCAAATTCACTTTCTCTTTAAACCAAGGGGATGGGAAGGTTTACATTTATCACCTCCGCTGTCCATTGACATTTCATTATGCTTTCTTCTCCCTGGCAGATGATCCATGATAGAAGTGACTTTTCCCAGTATATTTCAACTGGATGGAAGTATGTCTTCATCGAAAAGGATATAATTTAAATGAAGCTGATTGTGCATAGACTGTTCCTACATTCCTTTTTCTTGTCCTAACGACGGTCTAACTAGTCTTGGCTAAATTCATACATTTATCTCTCTGTACTGGTTATCCGTATATGCTATGCTTATCAACTAAACTGTGCTCAGCTTCACAGCTGATTGGCTGTCTGGAATTTGGGGTGTTGGCATTGGTGGATTGCAAAAATAATTGAAGGCGGTGTTCAGGCCACAAATTATCTACTCATATTCCTATTCCTTTTTCTTAGGATGTAATGAATAGTTCTGTTAGGCTGTTGTTTGTTTGATTATAGAAAATCAATGGAATTGATATTATCAATGATCAAATATTGACTTATATTGACTTACATCCCACTTTCCCATAGGAACTCAAGGTGAGTTCTGGTTTTCCACACCAGTCCCATGAAGTGGGTTGGGCCAGGGGTGAAATCCAGCAGGTTCTGACAGGTTCCAGTAGCAGAAATTTTGAGTAGTTTGGAGAACCGGCAAATGCCACCTCTGGCTGGCCCAAGAGTGGGATGAGAATGGAGATTTTGCAATATCCTTCCCCTGGAGTGGGGTGGGAATGGAGATTTTGCAGTATCCTTCCCCTGCCACACCCACCAAGCCACAACCACAGAACCGGTAGTAAAAAAAATTTGTATTTCACCACTGGGTTGGGCTTAGAGTGAAGTATTGCATTCAGGTCAACAAGGGAGTTTGCATGCCTGAAGGTGGACTTGAACCTAGGATTTCCCAGTCTTAGTCCAACCTAAGGTTAGGTTTATATGCGAGATTGACAATAGTATTTGATGGTCTTCATCTTATACCTGTTAACAGATTTCTAAAAACTGGGCTGTGATGTTACTGTTCAGCGGTTGAAATGCTATAGCCCTTGTTTTTCCTTTTCTTGATCTCATGCCATGTACAGCTTCTAGCAACCAAAAAATTTCTTATCCTGGACTAAATGACCCAGTTAACATACTACAGAAGTGATATAGACCAAATGAGAAATTGAATTTTAAAATCTATGTTGTATTTTTGTATTTTATGGGCAGGGGAACATTTTTGTGCCAAGAACCTCACTTTAAAAAAAAAAAAAAAGATTAAGGACTGCATTGTAGATGAAACCAGATAATGGGAGCTAGAGTGGTTTTTTTTTGTTTGTTTGTTTGTTTTAGAAGTCTAGGGATTTTTTAAAAACTAACTTGCCTGCTTTACAATTTTAATTAGTTTCCACATCAGAATGGCAGGAAATTGGGCTGATGGTTTTCAGCATTCAGAAAGGTGATTCTGAGGGCTCGGGGAAAAAAGGAAAACAACTTTGCAACTTTTATTTTCTGGTTATCCATTCACTTTTTATACAAAGTGAAGTTAAAAATATGTGCCTGAAATATGAAATGATATAATACAATCTATGCTCTATTTTTCATTTTTTACTATCTGGACAGAGGTATGTCTGATACAACAATTATAAGATGTGGGCTACCTTCCACAGGACTTGAAAATAAAATCGGAGCATATGTACCAAGCACCATATGTAACTAGTTACGATTCTCAGTGATGTTAGACTCCCGCAATGAGACACCAGTTCAAGAAATTGGCTAAGAATCTGTTGTGCATATTATTTAGACAAAACCATCTTTTGTTTGCAGATCCATAAAGAAACTGTTAATGTACAATGGTACACAATGTTGACTTAGTTGATGGTATACTTACATTGCCAATTACTTTCAGGTAGCAAAATGAAATTTCTCTCCTTTCCTTTTCCTCCTGAATTTCAAGACAGCAATTAACACATAGTCTTTCCATTTATCCTGGTGAGGGTGGGAGGATGGTGGTTGGAAAGGTGAGTGTATGGAAAAATGGTATGGAGACTGAAACTGGTTTGGTGTTGAAAACTGGTCAGAATCACACAGATACTAGGGTCTGTTGGCTGTTTCACTAGATTGTTTTTTTGTGTAATGGGAACCTTTTCTCTGGGGGACAGACAGCAAGCAATAGGGTTGATAGGTTCTATGAGGGAGGAGAGGGCAGGCACATCGTGATGGTGAGGGGCATAGGGAGAGATGGGCTGCTCTTGGGGAAGGTGGCCTCTGTGTTTACTGCAGATGCTACATTTTAACCCTTGGTGTGTGTCAGTCCCAGGGCCTGATCATCTGAGCTTCAGAATGCTGGGTTTTGTCTGTTGATAAATGCCAAGCTGGTCTTTAAAAAGACCTCATTTGTCCACAGTGTAATTGTGGATGAGAGGACTGATCTGGTGTGCATAAATAAAGGAGTTGGTCATATGGTGTTATTGCTGAACTTAGCTGGACTGAACAATTTTTGTGTCTCTAACCTTCCGTTTTGGGGGGAAGATTGTTGAGAAAGTGCTACCGGTATACCGGTAAAGGACTCTGGAGGAAGCAAATAATCTGGATCTGTTGCTTTCAGGATTCAGGCTGTAATTTAGCATCAAGAGGGCATTGGTTGCACTTACGGATCATTTCTGGTGAGTTTAAGGTGGGTGTAGTATATTTACCCTGGCTCTTCTTGATCTTTCAATAGCATTAATCTTAGTATCCCTTTGGGCTGACTGAGACGGTAGGAGGCATTGAATTTTAATGGTTTATCTCCTTCCTTGGTGGCTTCAAGATGTTGTGGTTCCCACTACTATTGATAAAGGGAGAAATGTTGAATTCTAGACCTTCATTGTATGAGTGTCAAAGAGGAGGTGACAGCTGTGTCCAGGGTGGCCTCTGCATAAATACATCTTTAGTGTCAGTTGGGCCAATCCCTATATTGGCAGGCATTGCTTATGACATTTGGAAACTTCAGCTGGGTCATAATGCAGCAGTATATACATTATTGAGCAGACTACAGTACAGCCATGCAATGCTGCTGGGAGAGCTGCACTGGCTGCCATTTGGCTTTTGGCTGGTTGTAACCTTTAGAATTGTCGTAACATGGGACTAGATTACAGGTCCCACCGGTTATGTCATTGTGGACATGCTCCAGGTTCCTTTGCTGAGGTACTGTTTTAGGAAGCAGGCCTTCCTCCCACCCAGATGGATAACTCTGATCCTACTGACCTTTCTGAAATCTGTGGGCATTTTATGATTGTTTATGCTTTTGTTTTTTGCTTACTATCCAGAGTTTTCCTGGATAGATGGACACCCATATAAATTTGATAAATCAATAAATCTAATGAGGAGGAAGGGATGTTATAGGAAGGTATATTTCTAAGTACCTGTTGTGGTTTGCCAGCAGCCTGCGGAGCTGGCAGCGGAGTCGGACAGCGATGAGGCTTAGGAAGAATATGGGCCAGTCCTGGAGGCTGGGGAAGGCCTGGATGAGGGCTCTGCGTCGGAGGCAGAGATGGGGCCAGGGCCATCGGGGAGTGATGTGCAGACTCCGAAGCCTTCAGAGGCTGATAGTAGAGAGGCAGAGGAACAGGAGGAGCCTGTTCCTAGTGCACATATGAGAAGAGCTGCCAGAAGGCAAGAGCAGCTAAAGCAAGAGGACGACTCGGGAGTAGGGCCAAGAGATGACTGGCCCCTCCCATAAGGCTTAAAAGACCAGCAACGGCTCTTGGGTTCTTTGTCGGAAAACAACGTTGATAATATTGCTGCACTTACCTCTTGTCAGCGTCTTCTGCTTTTGAACTTTTGCCAAGAGAAGCCTTTGGCAGTTTGCCTAATTATACCAAGGTTGGTGATTAGACTGAAGAATTTGTGTTATGAACAGTTTGTTTTAATTTAGTTTGGACTACGCTGTGAATGAGTTAATTCTCAGCTATTCTAATAAATTCTGTTTGTTTTAGAACTGTTTGCGTCAATTACTACCTCCTTGGGCCTGAGTCACAACAGTACCGTAATGGCACGTGTTAGCCAGGGATAACTGAAGCAGCTGCCTGCCTCTGTGAAAGGAATTTTTTCAGCTGTTGTTATCTTACCTGCGGGATGCCTGAATTTCAATAGGCAATTTGGGGAGGCTCCTTTCCTGTCCCTACGCGGTTTATACACTCACAGGAATCGAACCACCGAGCTGTCGACCTCAGCGGAGCACAGGCTCAGTGTCTTACCACGTGAGCCACCATGTCCCCCACCGTAATATATGAAATCTTTAGATACAAGTATTCGAAAATACATCTCAACAGGTGACAATATCTGATAATCTTGGTTGATCATAGAAACTAAAATGCTAATCCTTGCTAATCTTTGGATCTAGCAATCCCAAAGTTATATTTGGAAATTTTAAAAGAATCCAAAAGGTAGAAGTTAGTTACTTCTATACAATTGCTGGAAAAACAGTAGGTGCAATTATGAGAAGTCAGGCTCATATTGAAGTTACCTTTATTGTTTTATTAAAAAAATAACTTTCAAACAATTTTTGTTGACCAGTGGCCAGCATGGCAGTATTTAAATTCTGCCTCATGAAAAAACCCAGTCATCTGTGAGAATGGAAGTGCTGGATTATTGCCTTTGAGGATTGTTCAAGCTTGTAGAAATATTTGCAATGAAACAGATTTGGGATATATACCATCTTTTAAATGAAAACAGTTTCAGTGGCAGCATAGCAGTTCACAAACACGGTCTGCTGTGCTTCTTATAGTTCATGCAACTTTTCAGGATGTATTGTGAGAATCTTAAATATAGTTTCTTTTGACTGGTTCTGAATATAAAGGACAGAATGCCTCTTTGCTCAATCAGAAATCATATTGACAAAGCTGTAGAGTGATAGCAAGACAATTAGAAGAGTACTTTTTCAAGCATGCTGTGTACAGATATTTGTTAACTTGTTAGGTGCTTTTCATCCTACTAAAAATAAGCTGAAATTTACCTTTGGAGGAAAGGCAGCTCAAGCCAAAGAAACAAATTCCACAAGTGCCTAGCACGCTGCATCTTTCTTGAAGTGGGAACTTTTGATTACTTCCTAAATTAGTTCTTCCCCCCACACTGTTCTTACAAATGAAACCACCAATGTCCAGGATTAAATTATCGGGCAGCTAATACCAATTATAGAAAATAAATGAAGCTTGGAGCCAGGTCACCATTGCCCTAGCGTATTCTCAGCAAAACCATTATAATGAAGGGGGTTGCGTTGCCCCTCGTGAACAGTTGAATTCTTGGCTTTAGTGGGAGATGAAGAATGTGGAACGTCTAGCGAAAGTTAAGCCTGCTTGAAACTGGGGCATACGACAAAGGCAGTGAATAATTTGGCCTACAGAGTTCCATTTAATTTTCATTCCAGTAGTTCTCCCAATTTTCTGGGCAGATTCATCTTTTCTTTTTCCTTTTACTCACTGCTTGCTTAACCCTGGGCCCCAAAGAAAGAGCAAATGTATTCAGGGGTTCAAAGCAGCTTGGTTAATAAAAAGTGCCGAAAGTCAGTTTCTCCTTCTCCACTGCCTTCCTCCGTTGTTAAACTTATGTATGACTTTCATTCTTTTTGTCTTTCAGAATAGAGAATGTGTGAACCTGAAGGAGGCTGTGCTGGAAATGGTGGAAAGGCTAAAGTGTTAAGTGTGCAGACCCCAAAGTGAGTTAATTAAGTAAACATGCCCATTGTCTTTTTTATTTTCTATTATCCTTGAGAAAGATGCACTGTTTTGGAAACAATTATGTGCTCATTACGGTATGATCTAATTAAGTCTGCTAGTTAAATAATAAAGCTAGCTACATATGTGTCTACAGATAAGTTACCCCCTCTTTTACTATTTTTCTCAAAACAACAGTTTTATTATTTATTATTTATTTATTATTCAAATTTCTATACCGCCCTTCTCCTTTCGGACTCAGGGCGGTGAACAGCCAAAATAAAACATTTATACATAAAGTATGATTAAAAATAGATTTAAAATAATTAAATTTGGCCCATAGTTTAAAATTTATCAATTTAAAATCCATATCAAAATTTAAAATCAACCATAAAATCATAAAATCAAGAGAGACTGGCTAACTGAAAGAGATGAGTTTTTAGGGCCCAATGAAAAGTCCGGAGGTCGGAGATCACTCGTATCTCTGGGGGTAGATTGTTCCAAAGGGTAAGTGCCACCACAGAGAAGGGTCTCCCCCTGGGGGTCGCCAGCCGGCATTGTCTAGCCGACGGCACCCTGAGGAGGCCCTCTCTGTGGGAGCGAACTGGCCGGTGGGAGGCTATTGGTGGCAGAAGGTGGTCCCGTAAGTACCCTGGCCCTAAGCCATGGAGCGCTTTAAAGGTGATCACCAACACCTTGAAGCGCACCCGGAAGTCCACCGGAAGCCAATGCAGCTCGCACAGGAGAGGAGTCACATGGGAACGCCCCGTCGCTCCCATAATCCCCCGCGCAGCCGCATTCTGCACCAGTTGGATCCATATCCATAATTGGATATCAAGTATATAACATGTTCTTATATGTATATTGTATGTATGTTTGCTTCTCATTAAAAATTCTTTGTAGTGCTATCAGATAGGCAGATAAGAAGAGAGAAGAAAAGAATTATGAGAATTGTTTACTTAAGCAAATACAGTTCAGTAAAAGGAAGGAATTATCTAGAATTACTAGTGAAACTAATTTATGATATCTGGATTCATCTCATGGATTGACTTTTGTGGATAATGGCGTTGATTTTAATATACTGCATATTGGCAAAATTACATTACAGATAGCCTCCCACCGACCAGTACGCTCCCACAGAGAGGGACTCCTCAGGGTGCCGTCAGCCAGGCAATGTTGGCTGGCGACCCCCAGGGGGAGGGCCTTCTCTGTGGCAGCTCCTGCCCTCTGGAACGATTTGCCCCCGGAGATACGAAGGATATCGGATCTCCGGGTCTTTCACCGTGCCCTGAAAACTTTTCTTTTCCATCAAGCAGGGCTGGCGTGAAACCCGACCCCCCTTTTTTTTTTTTAGATTTTTAGTTTTTTAGCTTTTAATTTGTCAATGGGTTTTAATTCAAATTGTTTTAAATTTGGGCCAAAGTATGTAATTCTTTTAATAATTTTAAATGTTGTATTGGTATGTGTTTTTAGTTCTGGCTGTGCACCGCCCTGAGTCCACTAGGAGAAGGGCGGTATACAAATTGAATAAAATAAATAAATAAATAAATTTACTGATTGGAATTAATTGTAAATATTGAAAATCTCAGGAATTATTAGTCTTCAACTATTTTTGTTAATGGAAGTTTGGAAATTTGAAAAGTATATCATATAGCTTGAAAATCAAATTTCTTTTGTCCTTTTTCTAGGGGAAAAATAGGTTTATATTTTGCAGAAAAAGGCTAGAGAACCAGATAATAAAGTTTATATGCTTTCCTGATAGATGCTAAATTACAGCCCCACCAGTGGTGAAATCTAAAATTTGTTACTACCAGTTCTGTGGGCGTGGCTTGGTGGGGGTGTAATGTGACTGGGTAGGTATGGCCATTTTTTTTTTTACTTTTAAAACCATTTTTTCTACAACCTCTTTGGCATAGAGATTGTAAAAAAATGCTTTCAAAAGCCTTTGACGATCCCAGCTGAGCCACGCGATCATCAGAGGCTTTTTTTTTTTTTTACTTTTAAAAGCATTTTTTCGGCCGAAGAGGTTGTAGAAAAAATGCTTTTAAAAGTTAAAAGAAAGCCTCTGATGATTGTGCAGCTCAGCTGGGCATGGGGGGGCAGGGATTTTTGCTACCAGTTCTCCAAACCACCCGCCTCCATCGCTACCAGATCAGGTGATCCGGTCCAAACCAGGAGCATTTCACCCCTGAGCCCCCCCCCTCCAAATGTTACATTTTGAGGATAGAATTATTCTGTCCTACATGCTGTCCCACATATGGTGTACATGTACATCTATTGAACATGATCTTCATTATTGTCCAGCTTTATTACAGGCTGTCTTTGGCATTTGCCTGAACAAACATTTCCCAAGCATGATTTCCATAGAATCTCTTGAATAAGGTTTCTTGACAAAAAGAGATGATGTTATAAGAATTCTGCTTACAAAACTATTTCCTATTTAAAATCAATATTTTCCTATTTTAAGATCAATATTACAGTAGACACCTTTTTTTAATCTTTGAGCAGCCTTTCTGTGAATTAGTGAAATGGCAGGTCTCTTCACCATAACCCAGGATTTGAAGATGGATGTTTACCCAATAGTCTCCTGTATCTTTATCAGAATTAACCTTTACATTGCTTAGATTTTTTTTTTTTTTGAAAATTATATATACAGAAAGCAAGAAGAGTTAGAGTCAAAAGTGAATGGATGCTGAATGAATGCTGATTGAATTTACAAAACTGGGTGACTATGAAAAAATTCTTTTGGGGTTTGGTTTGGTCACATAGAGAGAATGAACAAAGCCCAAACTGCAGAACTAATACTTGATGGAAGAATAAGTGTTTAGAGAGAAAGGGGAAGACTAGAAAATAATGGTTGGATAGAGTTGATCAGATTTCAAAAAAGAGACAGTATACAATGCATGAATTATTGTATGGATGTGATGGAAATAAGAACAGCTTGCAAGGACAGAAAGATATGGAGAGGTATAGTGAATGAACTAGATGCAATTAGATTTTCTTTTATCTCTTGCCTTAAATTAATTTTGCTCACTATAACTTATTTCTTTTTCAGATCTTTTCCCCAGAATGGAATTGTATGAAGGGTATCCACATATGTTTGTAAATCCCCAATATGCTTCAGAAAAATCTCCAATCTGAAGTATTGTAATTCATGCCTTTTTTTAGTTGCAATTCTGCATCAACATTTACTAAAGAGCGAGTTCATTTACAAATCAATGCATATTTTTCCATTCATAAAAACATCCCACTGAATTTTGCAGGAATTGCACAGAAGGAAAATTCTCCTGGTCCAAAATGTATATTTTCAACCTATTTTGTAACATTTGTTCTATACTCAGAGTGTTCTTAAAAACAAGCCATTCTTGTTTTATGTGTGCCAGAAGAGGTAAGTTGTGCAATTTCTGTAGTCTGCCTTCTCTCAGTATTATGAAATGGACTTTTGGCTCAGTAAAGTCAACTTAAGAAATGCTGTCACTGAGGTTAAGATAATGGCAACTGTATAATATAATATCATGGACTGTGGTAAAAGATTTATGAGTCATACAATTGAATTACGCTGAGCATCTGTATAGAATTAATAAATACAATTTACTGTATGTGCTGCTTGTATTAGGCCTGCCAACTGATTAAAAGTGTTTTTTTTTTCATCAGTAAAAAGCAAGGCAGTTAATCTTTGACATCCATACTTCTGTTAATGAATTCACTATATTAAGGTAGGAAGTATTTATAGAATATTAACTAAGAAGATAGTACAATTGTTATAGCAGCAGAAAAATGCACAAATATATTTGCTTTTAAATATCTATCACAAAGCTTTTTGCTAAGCAGGACATACCAGAAATAATGAATCGTATTTCAAGAACATAATTTACTGCAAAAAATCAATAAAACCCCTATAACTTATTTTTTATAAATAACCTAACATAGAAATGCCTCAAGAGAGAAAAATCACATAACCCCATGAAAAGCTTCTGGGTAGCCTTCAGTTTTAAAATGACAGATTCTTCCATCTCAGATTCTTGTCTGGGGAACAAATTTCACTGCTAGTCCAATGTTCTATGTTTTCATTCCTCTTTTGCAATAGATAAAGTTTTGAGTTTCTCTTCAGAAATGCTTTCCAATGTTATCAACACACAGGTTATAACTCCTGAATTACGTCTTTAATGTGTCCAATAAAACAATCAAATGCATGGGATATTGCTTTACTATTTCCTTCAGGTATATTTGGAAATGCACACATCAAAAGCAATGGCTTCTTTACCAAATACAGAAAATAATATAATCTGAAAATAATTTCAACTGTTATCATTTACATTACGTGTATCCATCTTAGTGACTAATCTTAATAAAGTAGATATAAGCGGAAGATATATTTTAATTTTAATTGATAAGAAAATATATAACATGTTGCATTAAATTACTCCAACATTAATATTACTGTAATAAAATAATAATATTACATTTTGGGTCTTTCCACACTCAGTTTCTGCCCAGTGTTTTCATACTGAGAACTGTATTACATTTCAATATGTTGCTACTGTTTTTTTCCTCAAATTTTTCATTCTTCCTTGGTAAAATCCTGGGAATCTAAGTTTTTACAAGTTATTTAATTTATTAAATCATTGATTTATTATTAGGGTTGGTTGCATAGTCAGCTAGGTGTTTAGAATGGATTTGGCATTTGTTTCCAGTTATCGAAACTTTTCCAAGGAGATACGTAGATGTTGTTTTATGGAGTTAAAGGTATGGTGTCACAGGTGTAAACTGTTCCAAGTAAAGCCGCCTTCTGAAATTGACTGATAGTGATTTTGTCAATATTGATGATGTTCAAGTGGTCTCCAGGTGCTTTGGGATTACATCCAAAGCGACTATTACTATTGGTACTGTCTTTGTTATATCTATTTGCTGGTCTTTGTATTTTGTGATTTATTCTGGTACTTTCTCTTATATTTTGCTCTTGGCAATGTCCACTATCCAAACTTTTTGACTTTCTTATTGTTACATCTGGGATATTATGTGGCAAGTGTTTTTCTGTTTGAATTGCAAAGTCCTGGAGCACTTTAATGTTTTCATTTTCTATTACTTTTTCTATGTTGTGGTCCCACTAGCACTTGCAAGCAAATGATATTTATTGCAGATACCGGCAGTCTTTGAGTTATGACTGTAAGGGAGTCTGCCTTTTAAGGTTTAAGTCATGACACTTGTAAATCAGGTCACCTACATGACTGACCTGATTTTGCATCCTTTTTTGCTGTGGTCATAAAGCTACTGCCATAGTCATTAAGTGACCACAATGGTTGTTAAGTGAATGACATAGTCATTAAGGGAACAAGGTTCGCTATGGCCAAATTTACGAAAACTGGAAGTAAATGCTGGTTTTCAGCAAAATGTTATAAAACACAGTCATGTGACTACAGGACCCTGCAAATTGTCATAAATGTTTATTCTTTCACTGTTTTAAGTGTTCTAGGTACCAATTAGGATAAGAAAAGTGACTCTCCTATTGGAATCCAGTCTTGCTATCCAAATTTCTCAGCAAAATGAACATATGAATGTTCTTACCACCTATAACACATTTTCTCATTTTGAATTTTTAGGTTCCTAAGACTGTTTTGGTATTTAGAAGAGGAGAAAAGTGCAAATAATTCCTGATTACTACTTATTGATAAATGGTAGGACAAACAAACAAAGAAAACCCACTAACACCCTGGGCAATGATAATGGTAGGTAAATATATATTTTTTTCACAGATTATTGTGTGTGTGTGTAGTAGTATGTCAAACTGGGAAAGCTTGATGGATTTAAAGAATAGATGGCTACACCTATAAATAGATTTGCATAGAAATTAACAGCAAAAGATATTCACATGCACATCCCATAAATTTAAAAAATGCAACATCACCAAATTGTTCCCTTGCCATTTGTCCAAAATTCCCTTCTCTTTCGAAATAATGTTTAAATCAAATCCTCTTTCATCAAAATTGAATGAGAACTGATATGGAAAATGTAACAGAATTTCTGTTTCACATTACAGCTGGATATAGTCTGACTGTGTTTGTTAAAGACATTCTGATTATGTTTTAAAAGCTTCTGTCCTGTGTAAATAGCGCTGGTGTTTCTTTTTAAAAATATAATTTATGTCATTTATGTAAATATTATTATAACTTTAAGACCTCAGCTATGATAGATTTTAGCAATCTACCACCTAGTTGAGTTCTGGTACATTTAGCATTCTACCACCTAGTTGAATTCTGATAGTTACAATGTTCTTTTTATAATTCACTGTTATAAGCTTGAGGAATCTTAATTGTCTTGGAAGAGCAGTTTAGACAGAAACAAACTGTTTCAGTGTCTGCTGTTCTATCTTTGACTTTTATAATCTGGCGCTGAAAATCCTCTGGTGTTTTTGTTCCTGTTGCAGTTTTCCCACTTGTGTTATACAAGATTTGATTAATCCAAATGCTGAAGTCCCACAAGCCTTGTAGCTATTTTTAGCATTATAATTGTACAAAGGGTTGGTGAAGATTTATGGTTTCTTTCTTCTAATAAAATACTAGCTGCCTTTTGGTATATTGGACTTGGATAGATTCCAGCAACTGCATCTGAAATGCCTCGTCTTTAATAGATGCCATGTCTGAAATAGATTTTTGGTTCTTTAATTAAAACTTCTGTGGCTTGGAAAATCTTGAATGAAAATATATACTAACTGGTTTTGATCAAGGGAACAGCTGTTCCCAAATGTATCCTGAATAGTCAAACCTTTGGAACAGATTTGGGATATGATAGAGGGAAGAGGAAGAATCTGCTGAACTGGTGGATGTTAGTCTAGTGTCTGCATAATGGCATTGAATATGACCCAATAGTAATCCACAAGTGACAGAACATGTCCAACTTAAATTGATGAATCCTTTAAAATATCTGCATTTATTGTTTATGGACTGAAGTGTTATGTTAAATCATCTTCCCAAGTATCAAATGATGTAGTATTAAATATTATGGTAGGAATAGGGAACCTTGGGCTGCTTTTAAATGAAATGTATTTCTCAAACCTGCAGTTGCTTACAGTACTCCAAGTGTCTACTCTGCTTCACCTACTTCATATCATTTGTTTTTAAGACAGAGGAAGAATGAATGAAGATCGTGCTGAGTTTGTGAAGACTAGTATGAGGCTTTTGAAGTTGAACTAATGATTAAGCTATTCCTAGCTGGTTGCTCCTGCCAATGGAGGTCTTTCCTTTTGGCACATGGAATCTGGAAGCCTGCTGGAGAAGATGAAGGAGGAGAAAAGCAGCTAGGGATTCAGTGTAGTCTATTGGTGGGAAAGAACCTGGTGAACAGATTGGATTTAGTTCCTCATCCTACATTGTATAATAAAGAAGTTTTTGGGGGTGTAAAAGATGGGCTGTAATTGTCAGATTAAGCTGCCAATCTTAGAAGCGGCTTACTTCACTTCAGAAATGAAAGTGAAACCTGCATAAATGTTTTAATGTTATTAATATTTTGATCTCTCCACACACAGAACACCTTTATGAATATTTGAATACATACATAAAAAGAACAATTTTTCACAGTCGCTATCTCCTTAATCCACAGAATGCTGCATTTTTGTTAGCACTGTGGAGAGCTAAGTCACCTTGCCCAATTATCCTTGTAAAGATGTGGTTATGTTGTTAACTTCATGTTTCTTTACAAAAAAAAGTGAGCCCTCAGAATTGCTTGTCCGCTTCACTTTGCACTATTTTAAGTCTCCAGCAATATCCTCTGCCAAATGGTGATTCATTTATGCAAACGGATAATTATGAGGAAAATGCCACTTTTGACAAGCCAAATAAGACTGTCAGGAACTTTTTCCCCTAGGGCAGCTCCCCCTTTATGTTTCCAGTGCTAGATTGAATTTGACATTTAATTTAAAAGTCCTTGGTATGCACTCAAAGACTTTATAATGATAATAGAGATAAAGCAATTGAGACCTGCTTATGACAGAACCTTTATTCTTCTAGGTGTCCCCATATTTCAGAATTTGCTAAAGTGCTTTATTTGCATTAAAAGAAAACCCTCTTGACCTTGAAATAAGGAGTAACGGAACAGCTCCAGAAGGATTTAGTTAGAGAACTGATTATCTGTATCTTGGAAATAGCACTCTGAACCACCTGCTTCAAATTTGGGGCTGTAGCATTTATGCACACATATGTACAGGCAAAGCAAAGAATGCCTCAGCAAAAGAGGCTATGTTCTGAATATTCAAACCATTAAATCGGAATCTTCAACGAAATTACTTTGTGTATGCATATTCATCTGTGTTGAGCTGCCGTAGAAAACATTTATATGGACTTTGTTTCCTGGGAGGAGCCAAATTGTCAAACAATGAAAGATAGAGTTGGTCATGGGAGAATTCCTTAGGACATCTCATGCCATGAGATGTCCTAAGGTTGTATTGTAAACATACAGAAAACATTACTCCTGATTGTGGTTGTATTGTAAACATACAGAAAACATTACTCCTGATTTAACAGAGCTTTCTCAAAATTTCCCAGATGGCTTCCCTGTGAAAGCAACCACCGGATCCAATAATTCAGATAATAAAAATAGTTTGATTCACTAACACTTGAAGTCAAACACTCTTTTTGTCATGGTTCTTGGAATATGCTAAAAATATGCAAAAGGGCCTTTTGCCTCCCTGCATCAACCTTAGCTGTCCCATTCTTCAGTGATTCTTCTTAAGGTAAAGCTGGCTTCCCTGATTGATCTCTGCAGTTGTGGATATTGGATCTGAACAAAGCTGTTTCAGATTGAGAGGTATAGTGGTTGCCATATAGACTTCCATGGTTGTATCTTCCCCACAATGTACTGGATTTGTCTAGAAACCTCTTGCACCAGAAAAATATATTTATCAAATAAAATGATTTCATTTTGATCATTTCCTTGGGAAGAAAGCTTTCTTTGAAGCATAACTGGAAAACTCTAGCATTTATTTTTGTCTTAAGACCAAATGGACAGTTCTAGACATGTTGGTTGACTACCAGAAGTAAATCACACTTTTAAAAAAGCCTTTTGTTGTATGTTAAACTTCTCCGTAAGTTAGCTTTATATTTTTGTTGAAGTACCATCAAACAGCAAATGGACAATTCACTAATGAGTTACAGAGCAGTTGTCAAAAGCTTCATTCATAATGAAACAAAATTGCTCTATTAAACAAATGGGCTGGTGAATGGATAAACTGAAATTCTTTGAATTGATTCATGAGTAGCAAGCCTTGTTTTAACTGGAACAATGGCTTGGTTGTACTGTATTTTAAGGGATTGCTTTGTGGTAGATTCTCTTTCCCCTAATGATGTTTGCTTTTCTAGCAATAAACAAAATATGGGTGAATGTGTGTGAGTGACTATATAGCATGTCAGTGGTTGCATTAAGAAAACCCTACATTCAAAACTAATAATGCAAATCAGCCTTGCAGCAAATCATTCTTCAGTCTTGGTATTATTCACCCTTGGAAAGTTTTATTGAAGGTTTTTTTTCCCAATCATAGAAAGCTCAATAATACATTATTTTAAGTTGGAAAATGCATGGAAAGTAAAGGCAGATTTCTTGGTCACTAAATGATGCAAAGCATGCAGAAAATAAGGAGCAAGCAGGCCATAAGTTCCTGGGTGGACATGCAGCAAATTACATACAGGAAGAAATGACATCATATATTTTTATTCAGAAACTCCCACATGGACAGTTCACAGGGCACTGGAAGGCTGTTCTCTTCCCCTCCTCCACTTGACCTATTTTTTAATTGCTTTGTATGTTTTCATACAGTTTTGTTTTTGTTAGAGCTAAGAAGGAGCAAGGAAACCATAGGAAAACTTCTGCATTATTTACTGCCCTATCTTTCCCCCCAAAAAGCTGTATTATATAATAAATACATATATGGAAATATTTTAGGAAATAAGCTATCAAAATCACAAGATTTGCCAGACAAAACCATCATTTCAAACTATTCAAAGATCATAATGAAGTCAAGAGGAAAACTCTGACAAATCAGTGCTTTTTTTATCAACAGTATTTAAAGTTTAACTACAAGGGAGACAAAAAAGAAAGAAAAGGGAGAGATAAAGAGAAAGAAAGAGGAGGGAAGGGGGGGAAAGGGAGGGAAGGGAGAAAGAAAAAAGGGAGGGAGGGAGGGAAAGGAGAAAGGGAAGGGAAAGTGAATGAGATATGGATGGATGGATAGAGGAAGGGGGGGAGAGAAAAAGGGAAACGAAGGACCACAAACCCTGGCACTAGACGCAGCTTCAGAGGATGCTTTGAAACAGCACAGCAATCCAGGGCTGGAAGGGACCTGGGAGATCATCTAGTCCCATGATGGCGAACCTATGACACGTGTGCCACAGATGGCACGCATAGCCATATTGCTGGGCACGCAAGCTCAGATCTGGTGCACATGCGGTCCCACTGGAAGTTGGCAAATGGACTGTTTCCGGCCTCCAGAGGGCCTCCAGGGGGTGAGGAAGGCCGTTTTCGCCCTCCCAAGGCTCCTAGAAAGGTTCTGGTGCCTGGGGAGAGCAAAAATGGGCCTCCAGGGCCCACTGTACCAAAAGCAGGGGGAGTGTGGGGGGTGTTGCACGCGTATGTGGGGGGGCAGGGCGCATAGAATTATGGGTGTGGGCACATGCACGCGATGGCAAAAAGGTTCGCCATCACTGATCTAGTCCAATCCCCTGCTCCAGCAGGAGACCTCATATCCATGATGGTGAACCTATGGTACATGTGCTGGAAGTGGCATGCAGAGCCATCTCTCCAGGCACGTGAGCCGTTGCCCGTTGCTCTTCCAGGTTCCAGTGCGCTGGCCAGTGGTCTTCTCGTGCAGGAGTGCTAGAAACAGAAAGCTTATGGGACAGAGGGGCCGTGGCCCATTGGCCAGGGCAAACATCTAGGGGCATGCCAGCTGACGAAAAAGCTAGAGGTGAATGCGCAGAGGCGGAATCCTGACAGATGCAGTCGCGGCTAAGGGTAGGAGCTGAAAAGTCTCATTCCTGAAGACAACGGTATAAGGAAACCTTGTATCTCTTAGTGCTATCAGCAGGCGTTCATATATGGAGCTTTTTCAGTATTAGTTACCAGTTTATCACTAGGTATAATTACTGTAAATACATTTTTAAAAACCTCATATTTTAAGGACTGGTTTTTATCATATGGTGTATCTAGCAGCTGAGGACAGTACTTAAGGCATGGTACCAGTGATTGAAAGAGTACCAGTAGGCTTCAGAACCTAAACTTCTTGAAAGTTTCTCTTGTGGTTTGTCAGGAATAGAAAAACAGTGGTCTATCAAATGCCTTACTCTACTGCAATGCACAGCCTCTCATTGTTGGCCATGCTAGCTGGGTTAGAAGTTCTAGTTGTAGGAGCAAAAGCTCCTTATTGCCAAACTCCAATTACAAAGATAGATTTTTGTTTTGTTTTGTTTTTCTTAAATGCCAAGTTGATGGTATTTTAAAGTTGTTGTTCAATTGTTTTTATTTGCTAAATTGCTTTGAACGGTTTTGAGAAAAGCAGTAATTAACCATGTCAAATAAATATACATAAGGACCCTTTCATGTGAATATTGAAAATATGCTTTGGCCTTGATTTATTAAGTTTGCCATTGAAATTGCATCAGCACTTTTTTCTAAAAATTAAATAATGGCTGTGTTGCTTTACACCTTGCAGGATATCTGGCTAATAGGATGAATGCTTCTGAAGCAAACAGGCTGTTTCAGCATTCTGTTTTTGCAGCTTCCTGTTCTTGACCCATGCAAATTATTTTCCTTCCAGGGAATGTCTTATGAGCAATTTGTCAGAGAAGTTCAGCATAATGCCATGTCTTTAAAAACAAAACAAAACACCTTTTTGTCTTCATCCAGCAGTGCTAATTGGAGTGAGCAGGCAGCTAGTGCTGCTTTTTGACAATAACCTTACTAATAAAAATCCAGTGATTATCTGTAGGCATTTTTAAAACAAGAATGCTTTTTTTGTCAGTGCTTCTAGCTTTTAAGTTGTGTGTGTGTATATATGTGTATACTACTTTGCCTCCAGTTAAACCAGTCCATTCAAAATCTGCTTGGTTGCATTGCAAGCTGTCCCCCTTTTCTTGATGTTTTTTTTTTCAATGCTGAAAATTGGGCCCATCTGTGATTTGCAACATCAGTTTTTATAGATGACACACTGCCAGTTCACATTCCCATACCATGCTGCAGAATTCATAGAACCACATAAAGCAGAATTGGCTGATCCTGAAGAAGAAGCATAATTTCTGACACAATATTTAGGTACTCATTGTGGGTTGCCCACAGGCTTTCGTAGTACAAAATATTAAAACCATTACTTAACTTCTGTGTCACAGTCCTAAAAATCGGCATCCTTCAGAATATGTGCTCCAGCCTTTTCTGCCTGCTGAACCCAGCTATGGTGCATTATACCCCAGGAAGTACTGTCTTACTTGGCAGTAAATCCCATTGAACTATGGAATTAATTTCTCATTAGACTAAGTATAAACTTTCTTATGTGCCATGCATATATGCTCTATGCTTTTTATATCCATAGCAAGAAATGTTAGAAGTTAGAAAGGTGGGGAGGGAAAGAGAAAAACTCCTGTGGAAACATGAAATTTCAAAAAAAATTGTCTTTTTCCGAGAATTCTAAAAAAGCTGGCTTATGAATCTATGCTTTACTTAGTGTTGATATTGCTTATTTATTTTTAAGCCACTTTACTCCAAAGCTTTCCTGAATAGCATAATAATTGTTGCTATCATAAATATTTGTTGTTTTCTAGTGCAGAACTCATTCTGTCTTCTCAAGATACCATGATTTTTAAGAGTTACATGTATAAATTACCTTTATTCACTTTCAGTTATGGACTATATTATTTGTGCCGCAGTAATAGCTAGTGTATGCTTTTACTTAAAATGAATTGAACCAGAGTTTAGTCTTCTCTGAGATACATCCATTTTTGACACTAGCTCATCAAAAAGTATTATAATCCTATGTGTGCTTTAAGCCAATCTTCCAAATATATTGGGATTGGGATATCAGTTCCCAGCCAACATAAATCTGATTTATAGAATCAATGTGTTGGGTTCTAAAATTAGGCAGTATGGATTCTTCTTCCATGACACTTGGCCAATGGTTTGCAAGAGATGGTCTCATTGTGTGTAACCTTGAATTCCCCTTTTGCAATCTTGCAAAGTTTTAGAAAAGTGAACAACACTTTCTGGTTGCATTTAATTGCAAACCATTGCTTGGTACTTTGTCAGTTTCCAGTGCTTAACGCTAATACATAATACATGTATTAACACCTTTTTATTCCAATCATCATACATTATTTAGATTAATTTAGATTCAAACTCAGAGTTGATAATTTCCAGTTTACATTTTATATGGACCATGAGTTTATCAGGAGGCCTTGGACCACTTTCTTTTACCTTCATATATTCTACTCCTTTCTGTTAATGCTTTGGTGGCCCAATTTGAACAATTCAGCATTTCTGAAATATGAATTACCAGAAGCTCTTACAAATAATATGAACTATGATTAATAAAATAAAGATAAGAGAAAGTCTTCCTCAAATAGAACTCAATCCTCAGTGATTTTATAGAAAAGTGCATATTTTCTTTACAATGGAACAGAAATATTTTGCAGCAAATATAGCTCGCTGCCCTAGAATTTCCTAGCAGTTTCCAGTTTGAATGCTAGTCAGATATGACCCTCCTTATCTTTTATGAGATTAGCCAAGGCCTACTAGGTATTCTCACTTGCCAAGGAACAATTTAAAAAAAAAAAATAGCTCTCAAATACAATTTGACAGCAACTTATTGAAATTGGTCTATTCTTTTATACCTCAGATGACTTAGGGTGAAATGAATCTGAGCATTCAGCAAGAGTTTAAGTTCAGCACCC